AAAGAAAGTAATAGCAGACAAGCAAATTCTCTGTGCCGATGAACAACAAGAATGGTTGCCTTGGTGAGCCCCCTGACTGATGTTTTTATTTGGAAGCGAACATATGGAAACTCTGGTGAATGCATGCACTGTCATATATGAAGGCCTTTCAAGCTGTGCATGTCAAGACTACAGCTCCCAGCTATATTTTGGTTCATGCCTCAGAAGCACATCTCCAGATATGCTGTGACCATTTGCCAGAGTGCTGCTGAAGCCCCGTGATGACTGAACCTCTCCTAGTCCTCCTCTGCCAAGCTTGGACACTACTTGGCCTGGCTCAGTCTGAAACACTCAAATCCTTTGAGAACATGGAAGTGGTTCACTTGGAGACTTCTGGATCTTCCTCTTGAGTGGCAAGAACCCTTTTTGGTGTGTTAGCATGCATCGTGCTCTACTCCTGCAGTCACCTGTGCCCTAAGGTGAGACAAGCTCCAGCAGGGAGTCTCACAGCTGGTGGGACTCGTCTGCACCTGGGGCTCTGCTGATGCCTGTCCCATTGAGGTATACAAAGAGAAAAGCTTGAGCAAACAGGACATGCTCTTATATTCCCTTATTTCCCTGTTGTTTCAGGATAACACAGCTGAATAGCCAATATCATGTTATTAATTCGTAGCTACCTGCTGTGAAATGCATTTGTAATTTCTGTATTAGGCACATTAGATTCTCTTCTCCACATACCTTATTTCCATTCATATTTCCCTAGTTTGCCTGTGGGCACTTGCAGCCTTATTCTCATTTATATTCATCTCTCTCCTGGCAGTGATGAGGGGTCTCAAAAGGGTCATAAATAAAGATTATAGCCTTTCTAAGGTTCTTCCTCACTGCCACACTTGTGTGAAGTCCTGAAGTGGCCTCAGTGTACCTTGTCTGACAACACTGGCAAGCAATGTTGGCATTAATCTCTTTTTACACACACACACACACACACATATATATACACATATATGGATTTATATACCTGTATAGATTTATATAGTTTATATAGTCCTATTTAAAAGCATTTTGGCTTGGGTTATGGCAGACTCTGAATTCAGAGAGGTTTTCTTTCCTCTGTCTGGAATTCTCTGAACATGCATTGTCCAATTATGTGCAGTTACATCACACACATTACATATTTATAGGCCTTTACTCCTCAGCTACTTTACAAACAGCTTTGAAGTGTGGCCGTGATACATTAAATATACAAAATATATACTAAACTGATACTTAATCTTATGTAAACATAGTTTTTATTTCAGTGGTCAGGTAAACAATGACTTAAAGAAAAATCCATATACCCTCTAAGCTTAACAAAATGGAACTTCTGTATTTTTCAGTGTTCTGCCCTGAACATCAAAAAATGAATTTATTCACTTTTGAATTTACTGTTGTGCTGCCAGAAGTGTTTTGGAATAATCAAGAACAAAAGAAATTGTACCACTTACCTGAGCATAACTCCTTTCTTCCAACAGAATACAAAGGCACTTGGACTGGTCCAGTTCCATCAACAATTACATGAATAATCTCCCTGAGCCTGGCTTTGCCCCACCTTCTGTGCTCTCTGGTCTCTGACAGAGGAAGCAAAGTGTTTCCCTTCTCAGCTTGCTGTGTTTCAATGCAGCACCTAAAACCTCTGGTGCTGATGCCATTAGGAACTAGAGTATCCCTGATGGAGTAAAATGAAATAGGATCAGATGTGACACATGAGAAGCACTGAATGGAGTCAGTTGGTCCCATGTTTCAGGGGAAAGACCATGGTGTACATGCAGAATATTATTACCAGTTTCACCATAACTTTATTGGAAAAAAAATAATCATCTCCAGCTTAATCATGCTGCATATAAGGCAGTGTAGATTAGCTGTGAGATCAGGATGAAATTAGTTACAATGTCATACATTTCATTTGAAATCAAGGTAAGAGTTAAAAAAAAAATCAGATTATGCTCAGAAATTAATGGCTAATAGCTCTGGGAGGCAAGATTTATGCATCTACTGTTAATTTCCGAGTTACAATTTTATTTTTCTGCTATGGATAGTGAAAAATAAGCCAGCAGTTAGGCAGATTCAATAAGGTGCCTTGGTTGGTGTTTTTTGCATAACTTTTTTTGCGTGTGTCATTTTTCTCAATAATCACCACAGCTTGATCTTTGCAATTGATGCAGAGGTTGTTCTACCCAGCAGCAATCACAGTGCAATTTGCAAGCAGCAGGCAAAATGTGACAAAGTGTTCTCCAGAAACAAGAACAGTTAATGTTCATTCTGAAAAAAACAAACAAAATCAACCAACAAAAATAAACACGCATTCTGCAATGTTGTATGAATTCATCTTGATATATTTATTACTTTTATTGAATTTATACATTATAAATCTTACTTTCTGTGTACTGACCACGTGTAAATGATTTCCAGCAGGTATGCTGGGGAGCCCAAGGACTTTGCTTATGTGGGAAGCTGCAATTTGGTAACCGAGGGCACTCAAATCAGGCACAAGAACCTTCAGATGAGAACTGGTTTTGTTGGAAGCTGAAGCTAGACAAATTGAGACAAGAAATAATGTTATAGAGCGTAGCAATGGGGAAAGTCACTGGCATACAAAACACAGGGCTGATGATGAATACTTCCCATTGGAAATGAGACTGGTTATTTTTCTTTAAGACATGCTCCATTGCAATCACTGGTTGAGGTTTAAAGAAAGATTTCTTTTTTACTGAGTCCTGAGGCCTGTATTACACAAGACTTCAGCCAGTGTGATCACCATAGAACTGCCTGAACTTAATGTCTATGAATCCGAGCATCGAAACAGCTTTGAAATCTGAGTGCCAATAGATAGGTGCTTGTCCAGGTAGATGCCGAGAGCTCTGGGATAATTTACATTTTGACCTATTTCTGAGATTTTGAGCTTCTGCTATAGACCCTTGACTTTGCTCTTGACCCACTTCTGCAGTTGTCTCTTCTGACAATAGCGGCGTTTTTTCATATCCTTTTCTCTGGCTTGCGGTTGAGATGCAGCTTTGCAAGGTGAACACTGAAGAGGCAGACTAGATTTGGAAGCTGCTCTTCAACTGTCTAACAAGAAAAATGCCTGTGGGTGAAAATAGAATGTAATCTAGATCCAGCTGATAGATTGGTTACACTGAGGATATCACAGCTGATCTTCAAACACAGTACAAGACTGATAAAGGAGCACTGATTAGGTGAACTAGCAAGGTGAATGAAATGGTAACAGAGGAGATCAGAGGTTGTGAAGCCTTGACTAATTCTTGTCTACAGCTATATATGTTTCTCCTTCCCCATCTTGTTAGATATGTGTGAATTTGTGTCTTTTTGACAGATTGGCTCGAAACACAAAACCTACAGGGAGATCTGACTTACCAAGCAGAGCTGTCAACTTTGCGTGTGATTCGTGTGTGACTGGAGATTCTCAGAGATCCACATAGTTCATTCCCTTCACCTCAGAAGTGAGAATGAGTCTCCCAGGGCAGTTCTCACGTTCTGTAGTATTTATGATATCAATCCATTCCTGTGCAGTCAAGGTCATCACTGCTTTTTGAAGAAGTTGTTTGTGCCTGGCAGATTCTTTGATATCGCCTATGAAAAGGGTACTCCATATGTTCTGAAAAAGTCTGCAGGAGCTGACAAAGCCTCCTTGGTACTACTAAATTGAGTAAGAAACCTTAACAGTAGTAAGCAGTTAGTTTACCCACAGAGAGCCCTGTGTGTTCCCAGGGCTCTACTCCACAAGCATATCCATCTACATCAGCCCTCAGTCCCCTGTCCACGCTGTGCCCTGACTTGCTGCTGACAGGCCACAGCAAACACTGAATTCCCTACTTTCCTTCTCAATCTCATCATATCCTTCTCTTTACCACATCCTTCCCCTCCTCCTGGCTTCCAGCCCTGTTTGTAACAGTATCAAAGACTGCAAAGTCTCAAAAATGAAAAGACAGGGCAATCGCAGCCTGAGGGGGCAAAGTCACAGGCAGTTGAGGGCTGAAGGAAAGGTTAGGGCTTGTCATGGGTGTGCGAAGATGCTCTCTGCATGGCACTGCAGAGATTGGAGCACCATGGAGGCTTGCAGTGCTCATGTTATTCTTGCCCAGGGCACTGCAGAAATTAGTGTCAGTCTCAAAGGAAGTGTGCAGCCCTTAAAGATGCAGAACTAAATTTTTTGCAAGAACAGTCTATATTTACTATGAATGAGCAATTTAGAAGTGGACGTCACATCACTGATTTAAAGAAGATGTTAAAGAAGTGAATTTTAGAAGGTAATTCTGATCTTGCATTGTATTGCTGGGAACAGCAAAACAATGTTGAATTTCCTAATTAAAGCTGAACGAAGCTTTTCCATTTGTAGAAAGATCTACCAGGATTATGCTGACACTGAGCATTCCATTCAGGGTGTGGAGCATGCTGGGTTTATCATAATGTCTGCTACTTGCAAGGCACCCTCGTCTCAAGTCCTTCTTCTGCTATGAGCAAAGCAGCATCAGGATGTTCCATAATGTCATGGTTTTATGTTTTTTGTTTTTTCGGGTTTCAGTACTCCACATCAAACTCCACATCATGTAGTGTATGGGGCATAAAACCATGACACATCTACATCGCCAGGATCTGTATCAAAATGGAAATTACACTCAAAGACTATCTGCAGATGAAAATGTCAGTCTTGACATTTTGTGATCCATATGAAAAAAAAGGATTAAGTATAGTGCTTCTGTTGCTTTCTCTCTACTGAAGATGGAAGTAGTCTTGCCATTTTTGAGATTTCTGCAAGGTTTGTTTATGTCTAGGTGGAAAAAAGACAAAAAACAAGCAACCCTTGTATGACTTGTCTGGTCTAAGCTGACAAGCGTACTGCACAGATGATTTATATTTAGAGCAGAGCCCAGAGGTGTCTAAAACAATCTACTTTTAGAAGCTGTCATATTCTAAATCTGCTCTTAAAGAAAGCTGGACCTCAGTGTTACTCTGTCATTAAAATACATAACAGTTAGAAGAGAGGGCAATGCGTGAGAACAAGCACATAATGTCCAGGTTAGTGAGGCACCTGTTTTCACTGCTTTATGCCTGTAGATTAATGACTAACAGTTTTGTTCTAAGTGTTCAGCTGTACGAATGGTATTTCTGCAACTGATAGACATTCTTACAAAAATTACTTCATTACTGTAGATTGCTGGATTTTTGCAAATTATCTCTGTCTCCTTGTGCTCCTCTGTCTCCTATGTGCTGCTCCTGCAGAGGTGCTGCACTGGGTGCTGTTTTGTAAGCTGATGTCTTCCTCACAGCTGCTGGAACTACACTATGTCCCCTGGGCAAGCTTTCTGCCCAGGCTGCTCTACCAACTCTTTATTACTTTGCTCCCCCTGTCATTTCAAAGAGTTCACATCACAGTGCAAGGGGAAGATGGGAAATGAAAAGGCCTCCTTGTGGGAGACTCAATTGCTTGAGGTGAAGGTTTTCATCTTTCTCAAGCAAATGTTTCTTCTCAACTGGAAGTGTGTTCACAGATGACCATGCTTCGTGACTGAGATATTCTGTTGATCTTCCAGTTACCTTTTCATGTAGATTTTTGAGGATTTTTCTCCACAGTAGCAAAGAAAATGTTCAAATTTTCTGAGGATAGGTGAAAATAAATGAAGTTTATTTATTTCTCCACACTACTCTGTGTAGCAAACTTGTAAGCATTTACAGCTTTCTCTATAAAAGACATGAAGCAGTCAGGTGCCATATCTTTTTCCCCCCAAGCTTTACTCAACACATACCAACATCATGACAGCCACTGTGAAAGGTCTTCTTGTCAAACAGGTTCCTCTCCACTGCTTTGAGCTCCCTAGCAGCTACTGCCCTTACAGCACACTTGATGCTATGATATATGAATATTTGCTCAGAATATGTCTTCTCAAGAAGTATTTTTTTTTTATCATTTCTCATTTAAAAATAAATACATACACATATGAACAAATGATTTTCATCTGCACATACTTCTTTGCACTCCAACTTTCAGCTTGAAAAGAGAAAGCTCTTCTGAAATGAATGCCATGAGAAAACATCAGAGAATAGATCAAAATATTTTGTGTTCTTCCAGGATTTGGGAAAAGCTGGGGAGAAGCGTGGACTTCCCACTCTCAGTCTTGGAAACAGTAACTAGGATTTTGGATAGAAACCAAAAGAGGAAAATGATATATATAGAAAAGAAAGAAAATGATATATGTAGAAAAGAAAAATAAATCAGCTATCCTTGGAAGAATTGTGCTCTATACTTATTCAGCTCCTGTGTTTCTGGCCCTTTAGTTTGCTTCCTGTGGTTCTGGCGTTTTGCTAATAGAGATTTTTATTTCAGGAAGGAAAAAAGAGAGAGAGTAGCACAAATTTATACTGAATTGCTTCACTAAAATGCCTGAGAGGAGCATTTGCTATGAAAAACAATTGTTTTAACTGTGTTTTTGGCAACACATACTGTCTTTCTGTTATGTTCCGTGGCACTTTTCCATTTACTGAAGATGTCTTAGTTAGACCTGTGCTGTAACCTCCCATCACACATGCCCTGTGTTACCTCTGAGAAACAGACCATTTAGCACATATCCCTGAAGCTGCATTTCAGCTACAGTCACCAGCCTGGCATGCCATTAGGACTCCCTGAAGAAGAAGATACACATTTCTTTTCAGTACACGCGACATCTTTTGTCTGCTTGGATGAATCTTTATGCATCTGGTAGTTAAGGAATTCATTCTTTCGATCATGCCATTTTGAGGTGCCATTACATTCACAAGCTCTGAATTTTTGTCAACATACCATGGAGCACTTCCTGCTATACAGGTTATCTCACAGTGACGCCTTTCTGAGCAACCACAAAAACCTGGCTGCCAGGGTGCTGCTGATTTTATAATCCTCCATGACAACAAAAGGCATAGCAGTGGGAGATGAGGACCGAAGCATATAGCATGAGCTTGCCCCTGCAATTGATGAGTGGATAAGGCTTTGGGGTATGGAGAGAACCTAGAAATTAATGGAAGATAGGATAAAATAAAATATGGATTGAATAAAATTTGACAAAAACAAGCTTTCAAGAAGTAAACTTATTAGCAATTTTGTTTTTCTTTTCTTCTTTAATATACCTGTCAGGGTCCCACGTCTCTCACCCAGATGCTGCCACTAGCAAGGTGCCCATTCCTTGAGGTTTCCTTGTTTTGCAGCTGCTTTCATGAGGTAAAGACCTCAGGCAAAAATTCTGCAGCTATAGGGGTAAGCCACAGCCCCCAGGGAAGAAACTGAGGAATGGTGAGCTATTTTCACTCTCACATGTACCCTGAAACTTTCTTCAGCACACTTAAGCCCACCAGTCATGCCCAGACCTCCTCTCATGCCTCCAGCTCTCCTTTTTCCAGTGGATGCCCCACAGACAGGAGGACTCCAATCTTTACCCACTCTGACTCCTAGACAGGAGCAGCCCCATGGTGGCACAATATGGTGAGAGAGGGACCACGAGGACCCACAGACTCCTCATTAGCCAAAAGACAATGCTAAGAAAGCTAACAGACAGTAAGAAGTCGTAAGCAAAAAGTTGGCTTAGGACATGACAGCGTAAGTGGAAACAGCACTGAGCAGACAGAAAAAGACAAAGGTCACACTACCATACCAGGAAGCTAATGCTAGAAAGTAAAAAATGATAATGATAATTGCTTTACAGTTTCGCCCTCTTTATGTTGCTTTCCGTAATCTTTTTTTATTTTGTCTGTATATTGACTTCCTCTCTCTGAGATATTTACTGCCTGTGTTTCGGTGTGTTTTCTGTTTACACAAATAGATCGTTAGCCTTTACAAACTGAGCCTCAAATCTATTTGAAAATACTCATTCTGGTTCCAAACCCTGACAAAGGCTACACGTTGCTTGACTGGAAAGACAGAATGTGATTGTGCTGTATGCAATGTTCTGAAAAGATTTTTTTAAAAAACTTCCCCTCTATTATGTCACAGTAATTGTCTTTTTTTTCTTTACTTCTTTAATTTCTGTCCTGTAACTCATCGTATCTCTGGCCCAGTGAGTCCTGAATTCCTCTTTGCAGATGCAGAAGCTTGTAGCTTGTTGCACAACTTCAGAAGCTGAAGGACAAAGTGGCACTGACCTTTCCCAAATTAGTTCTTCTGCCATTAGCCTACTGTACAGAAGGGGAGTCTGTGATGACAGCAACATTTTCACTGAAAGAATATTCAGGTAGTACCTCTAGGAGATATTCCTGAGTTGACTATCTTTGTAGATTGGAGGATGAAGTCTCAGGGCTACTCCAGACATCTGTGGTTTGTGCCTGTTTGCTTTAACATCTCCTTACAGCACAGATTTCCAAGCACTGGAATGAGCACAGGCAGCTATTTTGCTGCCCCAATAACTGCCTTGTATGAGTTAGCCACTTTAGATGTACCCCCAAATGTTTAGCATTATCCATTTTTGTATGTAACTAAATCTCAGTTTATAAGGACTTACCTATAATTAGCAACTCCTACCTTTCTGCAAATTAAAAATAACTTCACAGCTAAGAAAATAATTTGTTCCCTAATTCAAAGCCTGAATCCTCATCACAGGTGGAACTATTTGTGAATGGTCCTTTTGAAGTCTCTGGAATTAATTTCATGAGTAAAGTAGCACACGTACAGAAGAGTTCCCTTGGGCCTCCTTCTTCTTTTTCTCTATTTGTAGAACATCTATGGGAATTCTCCTTTGTTTATTTTCCAAATTATAGAGTGCTTTTATATTGCAATTTTCTGAATTAATAGTGAACTGCTTGTGTATTAATGTGTGTATTTATTCCTTTGGAAGGAGATTACAAATGATAATAGTGAGTTAAATCTTTCATTTCGTTCTCACATCACATATTTGCTGTTTTACTTCCTTCCATCTTCACACCTGAATACATACACAGTCACCAAGTATTCACCCAGCAATCTAAGTGAGGGATCAGGTGGCTTAGGGTATTTTCAGACCAAAGGACCCGTAGTGAGGTACAGTGGAAATTATTAGGGAGTTCACTCTTAACTTTCCCCCCCCCAGTGTAAATATACGCTTGCACATCCCTTAATGTTGCTCAAATATCACTGCAACCACAACCCCTTGAAATACTTCTCACATGTTTGAGATGTGATTCTCTGAGCAATTCTAAGGCTCGTTATGGAAGTATTCTAACTATAGTGCATCCTATCCTTAGGAAGCATGGGTAGAGCTTCTCTTACTACACACGTTCAACAGACATTGTCTGCCTTTCCCACAGTGAGTCAGTGTGGGGCTTACACCCTGTGAAATGGGGAACAGAAGAACTCTTCACAGCTGTCTGATACCTTCAGCTCCCAGCTTGAGGAGAGCTCGGTTTAACTAAGTACATCAGGTCAGTTCTTTTCTTGTTGCCCTAACAAACCCTGATTATATTTTAATGAGAAAGTTCTTTCCCAGCATGTAGCCTTAAATTTGCTTTTCAGCAGGTGGCACATGGTTTAACTCAAAAATCACCACGTAAATCCTGACAGTAGATTATACTAGTTAATAATATGACACTCAGGCCCTGGGACATCAACTTAATGATTCATTTTCCTTTTAATATTAATATATTCTGCCCAGTGAAAGCCTAGGTGAGGAAAAGAATTTAGCTATTTTTTTTTTCTTTCTTCTGATTCTGAGTTCATCTGGCCCATTATCTTTTAATTACGTCTCATTTTTGTACTTTTGTGGAGTGGTGATTTAATGCTATTAATAAGCTTTGTTGCAAGTGAGTGAGATATGTAATTTCTCAATTTCAGTGCACCCTATGAGATACTGGGCTCCCTGTCACCAGAGAGTTGAAATCTCTCAGAATCTGATGGAATGAAGTCTCAGTTTCAATAAAACGCTGCTGTGGAGAGTAACCGGCTGCCATAAAGCCTTTAATGGTAAGTGTCTTACAGTTTTACATATGGAATTGCATGAGCAAAGGTTACCAGAGTTTCAACAGCCAGGACTAAGCCTGTGTGTGAACAGACACATTTGAAACGCCCACAATAAGCATGTGAAGGATTACACTGAGTTTCTGTATTGATCTTCAGGGTGGTTAGGAAAGGAAGCCAAATTCAGAGAATGAAACGGGGTTTAATAACCTTGTAGTTTCTCTCCCAAATAGTTTGGTAGAAATCCTAATGATCAACTGCGTAGTAATCTTGCAGTGACAGTTATTTTTATAGGATTTCTTCAGGAAAGACCAACACTTGAGCAAGAGCCAGCAGTTCTAAATGATATCTTTGCACTTCTCACGTCTTCCTTCTTTGCATAGCTGGGGAAATGGAGGAGCTTCACAGGTGGGGTGGAAGGGTCCACACAGGAAGAGCAGATGGCATGTGTATTTCCTTCCTTTCTTGTTCCAAAGGTTTACTTTTTTTTTGGGTGCATACAGGAGTGCGTCAGTGACTAAAAAGAATCAGCCACCATTAGGCTTTTTCCTGAGATTGGTTTTGTATTAATGCCACTTCACTGACTCCATCAGGATTGCTTTGGCTATACAAGAATGGAAAACGAGAACCTTTTCCTCCCATTATGTGTACTGCGAGTTTACACAAAGGAATAACGTTCTAACGAATATTAATATTAAAAGAATCCAGAAAGGATATAGAAAATAAATAATGTAGACACTTAGAAACCTTGGCATGGTCTGGGGAAAAGGGAAAACATTTTCCTTAATGTGTAATTTACCAGCAGTGAAATACAAATATATTGTGAGATAATTTCCTGCAAAGTAGCTGCATTAGCGTAAGAATAAAAAACTACCATATGCTTGCAGATCAGAGTATCTTCACTGACCAATAAAACACCATTTCTTGTTTTAGCATTGCAGTAGATGTAGTGACTTACATGTTTGTCAACAGCAGAAAGAGCAAATCTCTGAGCACAGAATAAAGCTTAGCCATAACAGAACATACACTGAAATAAAGGCCAACACAAATCTGAACCCAGCAAAACAGTTTAGCTTCACATATACTCATGTCAATATGAATATGTACTAGCAGTGATGCTTGACTTGTGGCAGTGATTCTCTGCACTCTTGCTCTGAATAACCATTTTTTTATTATTGAAATACAATTTCATTTTAAGTTCCAGGTTGTGCTGGGATTTTTTTTCTGCAGAGGGAGGAGAGAGGGAGGAGTTGCAAGCCTTACTGGTGTACCATGCAGTGAAGAGCAAGTCTGAGCGCTAGCTGAGCCCCTACCTGTGTGCTTCCCATCTGTACTGTTTGCATTAGTAGATTGCAGTATTTTGGTTCTCAAGTGCCTATGCTGTGCTCAGCTTGATTTGCTGAAAGACCACATTGTTGTATATTCAGCCCTGCTCATGCCCAAATTATCCACAACACATTAACGAGACCCTGTTGCCGATTATGTTCAGGCCCTTCTGAGGCAACCACTCACTAGGCTTAAGGGTTTTCTTTCAAAATACAGATTACTGGCTGAGAGAACATGCTTGGACCTATCTTTAATTGATGGTGAGACATATCCTAAGTGCTTTAATATTTCAAGCTCAGAATGCAAGGCCTACTTCACAAAAAAAAAAAAAAAAAAAAAAAAAAAAAGGGAAAATAACATATATTTCAATGGCTTGGATTCTCCAACATTTTAAAAGAAGCTGAGAATGTAGATTCTCCTTCTTATGCAAATTCTGCCTAGAATGAGAGGATGAGAGAAGTGGAAAAAAAAAAAAAAAAGAGGCAAGACTTTCTGTGTTGTACACCAGAATATTTTTTCCCCACTTCCTCCATGCCCATCATATTTTTGAGTAGCCTTGCATTTGCTCAGTCTGCTTGTCATTTATCTATAACCAAAATAGCTACCTGTGCCAGGTGAGAACACGCAGAGCATGCCAAGCTGCTGAGCACCTGCTGCATCCGTCACTGTGGGAGCCCCCAAAGTCATCATCTGAGCTTTGGATACGCATGGCTGCCAGGAATTCCCTGGTGGCTGACCACACGAGTATTTGCTAATACCACAGCAGTGAAGATGCCAGGTGACTGACTGGCCAAATTCTCTTCCCTCACTGCATACCAAAGCCCCATATAATTAAACTCTAATCAGCATCACCTTAGAGAGGTAAAAAGATTGACATGGCTGGAGGGGGGTGGGGGAAATTCACTGTGATGCTTAGGAGGTTCAGGTTGGATATTAGGAAAAATTTGTTCTCAGAAAAAGTGGTAAGGCATTGGAACAGGTTGCCCAGAGAAGTGGTGGAGTCACTGTACCTGGAGGTAGATGTAGCACTGAAGGCCATGGTTTAGTGGGCATGGTGCTGACAGGCGAAAGCTGGACTAGATGCTCTCAGTGGTCTTTTCCAACCTTTATGATTCTATGATTCTATGATGCAGCACACTAATAGGACAATTAGATATGAACTGTGTCCCAAGGCACTCTGGCAAAGCAGACCTTGCTGACCCTTCACAGTTTGCTTGGAATTAGTATATCTCAGTCACAAGGCAGAGCCTTAACCAAGGCAGAGCACATGAAACACAGCATGCTCTGTACTTCTCACTGTACTAGTGTATTATCTTCAATAATGCATTTTAATGTGCTATGTGGGCAGGAATACTGTTAGATAAAGCTTTACAGATATGATGTTTTGTTCTAGACTATTTTGGTTCTTTTCTTCTTCTTCTTTTTTTTTTTTTTTAATTGAATTTTAATTCTTACATTCAATGGCTGTGATTTAACCACTTTATTTTTACCGAGCGTTGCTAAGTTTTGTTCTAGAATGCTTTGTACAGTTTATCACCGGAAGGCAATACCCGTAACAGCCCACCTTAAGCCTCATCAGGACAGATGCTTTCTTGCTTTTCCCTTGCAGTGAGCAGCTTTGTGATCCCACCTGCAGCCCAGCTCCTTCCCCCTCTTCTTCAGGTGGCCACTGTGGTGAACAACCTGCATCTGGCTGACGTAGCACCTTCCCATCTGTGGGGCTGCTTAGGTGCCAGTCTGGAAAAAAACCATTTCAGAACTATTTCTCTTAAAAACAAGTGTGTTGACAACACGACTTTACAAGACACTTGCACACAGTCCAACACTCATCAATACTCAGTGCATTTATTTCCAAGAAAGGGAAGACTGATTTTCTGTCATTAGGTATCAGTTCACACTCCTGGGTGATAAAAGCTGAGGTGGCAGGAAAATGGATCAAGAAAACCCTCATTCACTTTGCCCTCCAATTTCTCAGCACTGTACGCTTTCTCCTGCCAGGTGTCTAATAAATGTTTCTGCCCTGGGAACTAACGTCTGTTGAACTCATCTACAAGTAGCAGTGGTCTGGAAAGTGTTGATACGTTCAGTTGGCCAGTATCAAAAAGAAGAAAGTTTTGTGGCCACTCAGCGAGACATACTTCAGATTCCTGAGCATAACTTGGAATGAAAAAAATTAATCTTTGATTTGTCTTTGAGCGTGTAAGGTTTTTTTTATTATTTTTTTTCCAGGTCTGTGTCTATGATTTTGCAGAAGACTGTTAAAGACATTGGTATTTGCAGCCTAGGTATTTTAAAATTAAATTAGCATGTTCTTCCTCTTTGTAAACCTAAATCCTGCATGGAAGAGGCTTTTTAATTGAAGATTCTTGTATTACATTTGGGGGAATCAAGAGAGCTTTGCCTTCCTTCTGAGTTTCCCTCCAGACTCTATCAGGTAGTACAATCCTTGATAGCAGATGCCAGAATGGATTGCAGATGGGAAATGAGAAAGAAGAGGGAGGCAAGTAGGCAGGCCAAGGGCTTAAAGACTTGATGCTGAAAGCTTACCATGCACACAGCTTTAGAAAGGGAATAGCTGGACAGGTACCAATGCAATGTGTTCCCACTGACTTAATTAAGAGGTTGTTTATTACATGACAAACTCAGTTTTTCACATATTTTTCATAGTAGCTGAAGGTTGCTCGAACAAATCGTGTAAAGCAAATTGTGAATGGTGTACCTGACTGGAAGGGGTTTGAAACAGGTTGCAGGCTTTCTCTTATCTTGATGTTTAGGTGTAACTAATCCCAGAACATGCATGAAGATGTCTGTGGTTTCATAGTCAGAGACACACATCCTTTAAGATGGTGTAGTAAGAAATCCTGCAAGCCCGCTGAGAGATTAATTGACATCAACTTCAGTTTTTCTTATCTAGCTGGAATGTGACCAAGGCTGTTCACCTTCCCTTCCTCAGGATAGCCAGAAAAGTACCTTTTCCTCCTCTGGTCCCTGAATGTTCCCAAGGAACACTGATGCTGCAAGTTATTTAGATACTTTTGATGCACACGTGCTGTTAGTGAAAAGAATGGGAAAATACCAAGAGATACCAGAAAACAGCACTTATAGCCCTGACAGTGAAGGGAAATTCGTGGTGTCTGGGTACATCTGGGGGTTACAGTGGGAAACAAAGCTTGTCTTCTGCTGCTGGGAAGGGAAAAGCTTGGGAGGGTGTGGGCGGGAAAAGGTAGGATTGTTTTCTCTCTGTGACAGGAGGGGCTGGGGAAAGTGTTTATTTCTTTGTACCAGCACAGGAAATGTCTTTGTTTACACATTTATCTGTGGTACTGGAAAAGGCAAAGTCTTCCTCTCTGGCTGCGGGGATGGAATTCTTTTCCTCAGGCATAGGGAAAGGGGAGATTTATGAAAAATAAATGCCTTTCTCTGTGGCAGGGGATGAAGAGAGGTCTGCCTGCAGACCCACCGGCTGCTTCAGAAGTGAAAATATACGCGATCCGAACAGATTTCCAAAAGGGTTGAGCGTAGGCAGGAGAGTTCATTTCGACGCCGTCCCGGGCTGAGCAAATGTTCAGCTATCTATTTTTGGCTCTCGTGACGTTCAAGCTGACAAACCAGGAATTCAAAGCATTGTACACCACGAGGCGCGCAGAGCAGGGGCCGTAACTGCCCCCACCGCGCTCCCTCCCTCCGGCTGGGGGCACGGGGCCGCTCCGGCCCGACGCCCGGCGCTCTCTCAAGGCATCGCCATGTTTAAGTTTCGATCCCCTCGCACCGACCCTCCCACCGCCCGCGGTGCCACCTTTGTCCTCCCGCAGTCGCGGTGACCCCAAGATGGCTGTGGCCCCGGGGGCGACCAACGGCTCGGCCCCCTTACCCCACCCCCCGCGGGCGGCCGTTGGGCGGTTGCCGGGCGGCGACGGCGGCGGAACCGGGCGCGTCGCCACCCGACGCCCGCGGGGAGCGGGCCGAGGCGAAGTGCGGGCGGACGCGGAGAGCGCACGGGGACGCGGGGGGGCGGAGGGGGGGCGCGGCGGCGGGGAGGAGCGGAGCGAGGGAGGCGGCCGGCGGGGCGGGCGCTGCCCCTCCGTGCGCTGTTTGTTCTCGTTCCGCCGCCCGAGGAGGAGGGCCCTGTCCGGCCGCCTTCTGCCGCCCCCTCCTCCGCGCGAGGGGACCGGGGCGACCGGGGCGGGGGCGGGGGAGGTGATGAGCTTGGGCCGGGGGCTGCGGCGGCGGCGCGGCTGCTGCTGCTGCGGCTGCGGCGGGAGGAGACGGCGGGCCGAGGGAGGCTCTGTCCGGCCGGCCCGGGGCCGGGGGGATGCGGCGGAGGACGCGTCGGGCGCCGGGTGTAGCTGATCGGCGAGGAGAGGCAGCCGCCGCCCAGAGAGGCCGAGGAGAAGCGGAGGAGAGCCGCCCTGACATGCATTTTCCTCTCCCTCCTCTCCAGCGGCCATGTTAACCAAGAAGCCCTCAGCGAGCGCCGCCGCCGGCGCTGCCTACCCGGCCGGTAAGGAGCAGACCGGGCGCCGCGGGGCCGGAACAATGCTGCGGCCCGGGGGAGGGGGAGCGGCGGGGGGTTCCGGCGGTCGGTGCGAGTGCGGGGCCGCGGTGGCCATCGGCTTCCGATGGCTTCTGCCCGAAGCGGGACGGGGCGGCGAGGGACCGCCGCCGCCCTCCGAGCTCATCCCTCTGCTCTCCGCAGGCAGGGCAGGGGACGGCGGCCGTCCGCTGCAGTCTTCCCCGGGCGCCGGAGCCGGGGTATCCCGGGCAGGAGCTGGGACCGGCCCGCCTTCGCCGCTCGCATTGCCGCCGCTCAGGGCCAGCAACGCCTCCCACACGGTGAGCCCGGGCGCGGGGAAGGGGTCGGGGTGGCGGTGTGGTGTGGTGGTGGCAGTGGTTGGGGGGGATCCACGGGGCGCCGCCGCCTGCCCCGTCCTGCGGAGCTCTCGGGGCCGGTTCTGCAAACTCGGAGCGGAGGAGCGTGTGGTTTGCGGGGCTGTAACCTGTAAGCAGCCCGTAACCGCGCTGCGGAGCGGCTCCCCCTCCCTGCGGCCCCGCTTCGCTCAGCTTTACGTCTCGTTGTCGGTAACAAATCAGATCTTGTGCACAGGCACCGAGGAGCTGTTCTGGCAAATGCCTTTTTGGGGATGACATTATTTCGGCAATGAGGTTAGTCACTGTGATTAAAGGGTCGCGTGAGCCTTGGAGAGAAATGAAGGCTGCTCTCCCCTGATGTCTCTGATTAGCTCAGGCCGATAGCCGTCTTCCCTGGAAACAGCTGTCGTTGTACTCAGGGGCGACGATTGGACGAATCTGACTTTATTGCTGCGGTAGTTTACCTAAAGAAATAAGCACCGATGCTATGTAAAGGATGTTATTTTCCGGTTCTGTGATATCTCACATTATCTCCCCCTCCCGGTTAATCTACTAGGAATGGAACTTCCCGAGTATGCCACTATATATGGATGAGAGAGAGTATCTCTGTCCTGAAGGCATGATGGGGTAGACAGAGGGGGCTGTGTGCTGTCGTGTTAATGCAAAATATCTGAAATTTTTATTGCATACATTTCCTTTTAAATGATGAAAAAATTCATAGTGACCCTGAAAAGCATTGATGGCATACTTGGCTTAGAATTAATGAGTTCTCCACGGATGCTCACGTACTATCTTTGTAAACATATGGCAGAGCTTTAAACGGTAATGTGATTATGGGCTAGTGGAAGGTGAAACTATGCATTTAGATATTAGTGTTTCAGTGACTTTCTATATAGCTTCAGGGGTAAAAGCATCTTATTCAAATCCAGTTACAGAAAGAATTGGCTTAAATTAGAAAAAAAATGCAAGTCTATGTAGGGTGTTTTCAAGAGGAATGATGAATATTCTGCAAATTTAAGGTGGAGCTGCATACTTGAGGTCAACATCACTGTGTTTTTATGTAGCTAGGGTATATGTCTGAATTGTTTGTTACTGCCAAAGGTAGGTTTTTGCACATTTGCACTCCAGTTAAGTGCCGGTTGATTTGAGAAGTGAGAAAGTGGTCTACTTTTTCTTTTAAGCTAGAAAATAATCATAGTACCTAGGGCCTGGGTATAGATTGTGAAAATGCACATTCAGATGGGCCCCACTAATAGCAGGGGCTGATGTGTGACAAAGCCCAGACTTAATTTAGAATCTGTGAAAGCCCAGTGGTCCAGTCGTCTATCTGGGACTGCTGGCTAATTTTGGAAGCACAGAACCATGGTATTTTTATAGATACGTTTGTGTGTGTATTATATTTCTATCTACATACACTGTATATATGTACGTGTATAAAGATGAAGTCTTTATGAAAGCGTGCAAGGAATATTTGAGTATTGCATTTCTGTTTCCAGTATTTTTATAAATGTATCATCCTGTATGTATGCATATGTTGTATATAGCATATATGTGCCTGTGGATAGATGCAGACATATAGACAAAATAGTTACGGAAGCATAGAAAGATGAGCAAGCATTATACCACTCTGTTTCAATTATAATTTCATTATACGGCTGTGTTTTGGTCTAGTATTAAATGGGCAGGTTGGTGGCCCTGTGTGTGGCAGGGGGGTTGGAAATTCATGATCCTCGAGGTCCCTTCCAACCCTGGCCGTTCTGTGATTCAAATCCCTCTGGGTTCTGATTGCTGCAGACTCTGCTGTGCCTTTGTGACACAGATTCTACTCCTCAGTCTTTATTTTACCTTGAGTGCTATTACAGAAATACCTCTGACTGGCTCGCTGAATTTTGTAGGTTATTATTTTGTGGTTGCCTAACATAACTCTTTGTGGTAAGGATCAGATGTGACATCAGAATGCTGGATTTTAACCTAAAACAATGGTTATATATGGTATGGGAGCGTTCTATAAACTTCAGGCCTGCTGACCTCAGCTGACACTGACTGAAACTATTGGTTTTACCCACTACTTCCTCAAATGAAATGTATTCAAAAATAAACATTTCAGTTTTCTTAAACCATTTTCTTCCTCTGTATTCATTCACTTAACCTGTTT